GGATAGCTATTAACAGGAGCCCAAAAAGGGAACAGCAAAGAAAGAGCTGGCCACAGGTGTCTAGCCATGCTGGTTGAATGATTCTGGGAACTATTATATCATCTCTCATTTTTTCCAAGGCCTGTAGAAAAACAAGTGCTAAGCTTATCAGGGAATTAACAGGAAATAAACAGTGGTAACCTCACCTATTATTCCTGCTCATTCATTTCAGCTTAACTAGCCCACCTCCAGTGCTCTTAGAACAAGCATAAGAACCATGTCGCTGTCCAGATGTGTTGGACTGCAACTCCCAGCAGCCCTAGCCAGCACAGTCAAGAATGAGAAATGCTGGGAGGTGCAGTTCAACAACATCTGGAGGGAAATATGATTCCCATCCCTCCCTCACATCATGGCCAGGCTAACTATTTCAACTAATGGACTGAATTCAACTTCAGAGAAGTGATGCCATGTAAGTAAACAGAATAAAAGGCAAAAGGGTGAGAGTCCAAATACCAGCATTTTTTTTAAAATTAAACCTTTTCCACCCAATAATTAAGCTAAAGGAGAGGCAGTTCAACCTTTTAGGATGGGGAGAAACCAATACAAAAGCTGGGAAACCATCAAACAACAGTGTCATGAAGAAATAGGCAGTGGTGCCTGGAGAAGCCAGGGGGCTGTACTGGGGCTCAGCTTGCCTAGCCCCAATGAATGCCAGCATTCTCTGCTTTTGCTTTTCTGTACCACAAGTACTTCATCTCATGCGCCCCACCTCTATGGTACATGTAAAGCTGCCCTAACATTCATCACTGATACGTGATCTTCTGAGAAAAGCTTGACAAGAAGTAGATAAGAAAGGAATGCTCTTTGTTCTCTGAACCTTTCCTCTATTCTGAAAGAGTAATCTTTTGCACTGTTTCAAGTATAAATCCATGTATTTTGGTAGGGCGACAAAAAGAGAAAGAGCACATGTGTTGCAAAAAAGAACAGGCTGAGTCTCCCTTATCCAAAACGCTTGGGACCAGAGGTGTTTGGATCTTTGGAGATTTTGGAATACCTGTATTTGCATATAGGTATAGATACATTGAGATATCTTGGACATGGACCCAAGTCTAAACAAAAAATTCATTTGTATTTTATATACACCTTATATGCATACATACTCTGAAGGTAATTTTATACAGTGGATCCTTGTTATCTGCTGGTGTTTGGTTCCAGGACCACCATGGATAACAAAATCTGTGGATGCACAAGTCCCATTAAATACAATGGCCTAGCGAAACTATGTCCCTTATGTAAAACAGAAAATCAAGATTTGCTATTTGGAATTTATACTCTTTTTTTTTCTCCTCAGTATTTTCAATCTGTGGGTGCTTGATTCCATGGATAAGAAATCCATGGATAAGGAGGGCCAAATGTACAATATTTCTAATAATTCTGTGCATAAAACAAAGTTTTTGTACACTGAACTGTTAGAAAGCAAAGGTGTCACTATCTCAGCCACCCATGGAAAAAAAATTGGTTTTTAGAATATTTTGGATTTTGGAATTCCAGATAAGGGAGACTCAATCTGTATATGATTTGAGTTGTTAACCGTCTGCCAGCTACCAACTCTGCCTCAATACAAGGAGAACAGAAAAACAAAAGCAGAGTGTGCAGGCACTCATGGGAAAGTGGCCTCCATGTTAAATATTCACTAAATTCTTCTACCCGTAAATCAATTCCTGACTCACAGAATGCCTTACCTGCTTGAGCAACAGGTTTCTTTGGTGCCATGTGTTCTTTTGCCAGGCTGTACACCTTCTCTAGCCTGAAGAAAAGACAAAAGCATGTATTGTTGTTGTGTCTCTTCAAGCCATTTCTGACTTATGGCAACCCTAAGGGGAACCTATCATGGGGTTTGCCTTTGCCTTCCTGAGGCTGAGAGAGTGTGACTTCTCAAGGTCATCTAATGGATTTAAATGGCTGAGCAGGGACTCGAATCCTGGTGTCCAGAGTCATAGTCCAACATTCAAACCACTATACCACGCAGTATATGCCTATGTGATTTCAGCAGGTAGCTAACCTCTATGCCATGGAATGCTCAGATCATGATTTCCCAAACACAAATACTTTAATGAAAAAAATCTACAAGATATTCAACATTCAGTGAAAAGCTAAAATGGGGAACGAGCAGTGGGGGGGCAGGATTAACTTTTTAGCATTCTGCAGGGTGAATGATGTCAAGGGGGGAAGGATAAACACACACCCTGATGGCATCAAGGGCCTGGCCAGGTTGAGCTTTTCTATCTAAAGCTTTGACTGGGGACCTGGTTATGCCCCTCTTCTCTGCAAAGGAATGGAAGAGGAGTAAAGGACCATCAGACAGCTCCTGAATTCAATCTGAGTTCAAAAAGCCCCTGTGTGAATTGTCATCCCCCTGCAGGAATTATGCAGCTGAATCCACAGTCACTGCAAAGGACTTCAGAAAGGGGGAGTGGAGGTTTCTCCAAATGGGGGTAGATGGCACTCCTTCCCCCAAGGAGGAGAATGATGCAGAAATCTCCTCTTTAAAAAAGTGTGCTCCACTACATCTTATTTTAGCCAAGAATCAATTAAATACCTCAAAGTTAATCATAGTTTACATTCTGGGCACTTTTAGTTTCATTGTGAGCGATTGGTGTTGCCTGCAGAATTTCAGGGCCAGGAAAATGCCCAAGTCTACACTATGCACATTTGAGTGACACTCTGAGGATGCTTTTATTGTTTGAGCAAACTAATGGCTTTCTATTGGTCCTTCAAATAAATCTATCCCCCTCCCTAGTCTCCTTAGACACTAACATTCATCACTTTCCACTGCATCCCCTCCTCACCCCCTTCCCCATGGAAGGGAAAGCAAACCATTTACTTGGCCTGGATACCCATCCAGAGCATCTGCTGCCTTTGGACCACATCTGGATGCTTCCTGACAAAATCCTCATCATACTGGAGCTTGAATTCCCAGCCTCTGTTTATTCTCAAGAAAGACATGTGCTCCAAGAAGTCCTTCACATCCTCTGGACCAAGCTAGAAAAAACAAGTTTTCATTTATGTATATACTGATATGATATGCATTTCACTGTATACCTCACTGACTAATTAGTTGCCAAACACTATGTGAGAGCAGGCCTTCAAATCTGGGTGTATCCCAAAAAGAACACACAGAGATCGGACAACAACTGAAACATAGCCTAGATGGAAGAATCTGTTGGAGCTTGCCTAGGCAATCCTATTTGCTTAACTTGTAAGATGCACACACACACAAACATCGTGTTTGCTGCACTAGTACTGGTTGCAGGAGAAAAACACATGACTGCATCAAGATAAATTTTGGCAAAATCTGCATTTTACCAGTCTTGGAGAAAGACCAAAGAGGTGAGGACCAAGGCCCATGCATTAGAATGCAAATCTGGACTGTGGAAAAATTACTTTCACTCTGCAGATCCATGGAAGTTTCACCCAGATCTTTTCATAGTGAAATCCCAAAAGGACTAACTTGTTTCATTTAAATAAACCAAAATCAGAATTGGATGCTCTTCTCAGGGGGCCTGAAAAAGCACTCTATGTCTTTCCTAGAACTTCCTATGTTGGTCATCCACAAAATTTGTCATGTTGGGGATGACTGGGAAAATGAGTCCTGCCTTGAGACAGAAGGTTGTGCTGAGTAGAACATCAAGCCTTAACATTATCAAATAAATGTTTTAAAAAGAAAGCTTACTTTCGTAACTGTTGCTACTTCTTTCCGTACCACCCAGCGGTCCTGTGTAAACTTCCACATCTGAGCAGGAGAAAGGAGGAGAAGAAGAGAAGAAACCATCACAACTGAAACTATAAAAAATAACTGTGTTTCTCCAGCTCCCCTTCACTATCCTCCCAATGTTGTTACTGCTAAAAACTTCCATCTAGACAGAGGATAAGGAGGAAAAGTGGGGTGAGTGGGTATACAAAGCCTTTTTTAAAAAGTAGCTTCACTGTCAAGTTAACTGAGGTATGCCTATACTGAGTTAGATCACTGACCGTGTATTACTGTCACTGACTAGCAGCGGCATCCCAGAATTTGGGGGCATGATTCTTCCCCAGCCTTACCTGGAGATGCTGAAGAGTGATCCTGGGGCATGTGTTCTACCAAAGAGCTGCAACCTTTTCCCACTCAACACTCTAGTACTGGAAAGAGCAGTCAAGAAAATATGTGCCTTTCATACTCACAACAAAATCTCTTCCCCGGCAAAGAACTTCTGCTGGGACTCCGCTGTGTGGGCTGGAGGTTTCCTTTGGGTACAGGACATCACTATTCAAGAAGATAAATGCTTGTTAGCTGTAGCTTTTCATATTGCCAGTTGTTAATAATACAGCAGCTGCAGACACCTGCCAAGCAGCACCTTGTAATGCAGTCTGGATTACAAGCTGCTCAGGCCATTCAAAAGAGAACCCAAAGCCCTTGGTATATTACATGCAAAAGGATTTCACAAAGTAAACAGTACATTGAAACTGGTCATGGCTTTTTGAAGGAGACAGTAACAGTCTTTTACCTTGCAGTATTTTGCATTGTGGCAGCTTAATTGATAATAACTCAAGGATGGAAAAATGATACTAAATAGTTGTTTACTATCTATATGGCAGGGGTAGGCAACCTTTCCCTTTTAAGGGCGGAGGGACTTCAGCTCCCAGAATTTCGGAGCTATTGGCCAACATGGGACTATTGGCCAACAAGGCTGAGGCTTCTGGGACCTGAAGTCCCTCGGTCCTTAAAGGGGAAAGGTTGCCTACCCCTATATATGGTATTAAAAAAAATGGTTTATACCTAGTAAGGAAAAAGTGTCCCATAATATCTTATTGAGTAAAGGAAATGTTAAACCAGATCCATTTTTTATTTAAACTGGTACAGATCAAGTGTTCCAAAAGTGTTCTCATCCAAAATGCCTGGGACTCGGGAGTGTTTTGGATTTTTAAATTTATTTTGGAATACTTGCATATACATAATGAGATATCTTGTAGATGGGACCCAAGTATAAACATGAAATTAATTTATGTTTCATTTATACCTTATTTATATGCTTAGCCTCAAGGTAATTTTATACACAATATTTTTAATAATTTTGTGCATGAAACAATGTTTGTGTACACTGAATCATCAGAAAGCAAAGGTGCCATTGTCTCATCCACTCTCTCCTCTCCCTCCTGCTGAATTAAATGAGTGCAAACTACTTTTGCACTTTGAGCTCAGTTTGCAGCAACTGAAGTGAGCTGAGGACGAAGGAGGAAAATCTGGAACTCTTTAAAACCAGCTGAGAAACAGGGGCAGCAGAAAATTAATCATGACTGTCAAACCTGCCAAATGCCTAAACGCATCAGATCAGATTTGGTCTGATCTTGGAAGATAAGCAGGATCAGCCCTGGTTAATATTTGGATGGGAGATTGCCAACGAATACCAGGTGCTGTAGGGTGTATTTCAGAGGAAGGAACTGGAAGAACCACCTTTGAGTATTCCTCTACTAAGAAAACCCTATGAAATTCATAGGGTCACCATAAATCGACAGGTGACTTAAGACACAAACACATACGGAGTACAACAACGTGTTTGTAAATACGTGATACATGGCCTGTCAGAAGCTCCCCAATGAGGCTCCAAAGCCTGATAATAATTCCTGCACCACACTTGACTCTGCTTACTGCTACTTTTCCCCAAAACAAAAGAAAAACCACACTTGAACAGGAGAGTTTCTTTTACAAGTAGAAATACCTCTAGAACAAAAGGCATGTTTACCTTTTCACAACCCAGTTTCCCTGCACCAACAGCGCCACCTGCTGTATACAACGCAAGGCTGCAGTAGGATCAGTCCCAGAAGCCAAGAGACTCATCAGGTTTGCAAATGCAATGACTTTCACTGCAGGGAAGGAAAAACAAAACAGAATTGCAAGGCTGTTTCAGAGATTCCTTATAATGATGTAACTCAGCCTTCCTCTTGATGTGTCAGACTACAACCCCAATAAACAATAGCCATGCCGGGGAGGTGTATCCAATACATCGGGAGAACACCAAGTTCGAGGAGGCCAAATTAAGCAAAAGATTGGCAGGATAATTTCTTTTTTATTTGCAAATACGCTTTTTAAATGTTGCATTCATAAAATCATAGAGTTGAAAGAGACTTCAAGGGCCATCAAGTCTAACCCTCTGCCATGCAGGAACACAGAATCAAAGCACCTCTGAGAGATGGCCATCCAGCTTCTGTGTAAAAACTTTCAAAGAAGGAGATTCCACCAAGGGAGTGTGTTCCACTGTCAAACAGCTCTTACTGTCAGGAAAGCCTTCCTAATGTTGAGGTGGAATCTCATTTCCTGTAGTTTGAATCCATTGCTCTGGGTCTCATTCTCTGGAGCAGCAGAAAGCAAGCTTGCTCCATCCTCAATATGATACCCCTTCAAATACTTAAACAGAGTTATCATATCATTTCTTAACCATCTCCTCTCCAGGCTAAACATATCCAGCTCCCTAAGTCTTTCTTCATCATTTCCAGACCCTTCACCATTTTGGTTGCCCTCCTCTGGACATGCTCCAGGTTGTCAACATCCTTTTTGAACTGTGGTGTCCAGAATTGGATACAGTATTCCACGTGAGGCCTGACCAAGCAGAATACAGTGGCACTATTACTTCCCTTGATCTAGATTCTAGACACTATATTTCTATTGATGCAGCCAAGAATCTCATTGGCTTTTTTAGCTGCTGCTTCACACTGCTTACCCATGTTCAACCTGTGATCTACCAGGACTCTTAGATCCCTTTCACATGTACTGTCAAGCCAGGTGTCCCCCCTCCTATATCTGTGCATTTCATTTCTTCTCTTTAAGTGCAGTACCTTGCATTTCTCCCTGCTGAAATTCATTCTGTTAGTTTTGGCCTAGCTTTCTAATCTAATTAAGGTCATTTTGAATTTTGATCCTGTCCTCAGAGGTATTAGCTTCTCTTCCTAATTTGGTGTCATCTGCAAATTAGATCCAACTAGGCTGCCCCTGCCCA